AACGTTGCAATGCACACGAAAATACAACAGCAAAATAGCACGACGTCTTCGTTTTTGTAATAAAAAGAATGAAGCTCACATGGTCATGACTGCTGCTATGCACGTAATTTCAAGTTCAAATGTGCTTTCAACAACCATAGGCATTTTTTACTGGAATTAGAATTCTAGTTAGGGAACACTACAACTTTTATTAGTAAACAGAACAGAGGGGTATCATTATTCACACATCGTACCCCCCCCCCACCCATTTTCTGCTCGAATTTCAGCTTTTCACAAGGGCAGTTCTGCTGCAAATTGTACCCCCCCCCCCACCTGGCTACGCCACTGCTTTTTACCACCTCCAGTTTTGGCAGGGTCACTTTCCTCTCCCATTCCAACTTTGACCATGCATTTTCCTATTCCGGGTAATTGGGAGCATCCACAAACTTGAAATTTAGGAGGACTCCCAAAATTTAAAATCCTAGCTGGGACCAAACATTATTTATGACGAGGGTTGGGTAAACAAAATTTTGAGTGAGTAAAAGGTTGGGTAAATGAAAAACAAAACAACTCAAGGGTTGGGTAATAAAAATTTATTGTCATTTCCAAAGCATGACTCACTCAAATATTGAAGAGTAAAAGGCAATATCAACAGTCATATGCATATCAATACAATATGTAAATCAATCAGAGTCAATATCTTGATCATTCTCCAATTTTTGTCAGGAGACAAATGGTATCTCCAAAGAAAGTACATGTGCAGACAACATGAAACTTTACACTGCACAAAATTGCACAAGCAGTTATCAAACTCATGTCGCAGAAGTGGTAAAGGACATGTGTGACAACTGAATATTCTTTTGTAAAGTTTTTGGCCAGGGGTATTTATTTTTTCGGTGCTAGACCCCGCCATAAATAATGACCGGTCCCTAAGACTATTGGGGGGGGGGGGGTGGCAAATAGTATCTATATACACCCCTGGTAAAGAAATTAAACACTCCTCTTACAGATGCAAAAACTAACTACAACTGGTGCTTACTATATGTATACTGACCTTAGTGCATATTTGGGCGGCAAATTTTTGCTAAACGACGTGCACTATCTATTCTATAATTAAAGCATATTCATGCAACAGGTTACGTATTACCAGCACATTAAATTAAATTAAGATTGAGATAAAAAGTCGTCTTACTTCTTCTTGAAAAAAATTCTAACATTCACATTAACGCCAGGTTTAACCTGAAAAGCAAAGACGAATTTAAGTCGTGATCTAACAAGGATGAAAAACGATGAGAGTCAGCAAACCAGGTTTTGCATGACAGTTCTCTCATCTCTTAATTTAACCGCCCTTTCAACCGTATAAACCCTAAGATGTTGCCTTACATTGCTATAATGCACACCAACAACAACACCAACACAACAACAACAACAACAACAACAACAACAACAACAACAACAACAACAACAACAACAACAACAACAACAACAACAACAACAAAAGAAACAAAAGCAACAACAACAACAACGAGAACAACCGCAACGACAATTGAATTTAATAATTTACCAATATAACTTTCACAAACAAATACACACAAATAAATTAAAAATAGAATTACATATGGCGAGAAACCTAAAGGCTTAAGAAATCATGGAACAGCAACAACAACAACAACAGCAACAGCAACAACAGCAGCAACAACAGCAGCAACAACAACAGCAACAACATCAACAACAACAACAATAACAATAGCAACAACAACAACAACAACAACAACAACAACAACAACAGCAGCAACAACAACAGCAACAGCAACAACAGCAGCAACAACAACAGCAGCAACAACAGCAGCAACAACAACAGCAACAGCAACAACAGCAGCAACAACAACAGCAGCAACAACAGCAGCAACAACAACAGCAACAGCAACAACAGCAGCAACAACAACAGCAACAGCAACAACAGCAGCAACAACAACAGCAACAGCAACAACAGCAGCAACAACAACAACAGCAACAACAACAACAGCAACAACAGCAACGACAACGACAACAACAGCAACAACAATAGCAACAACAACAATAACAATAGCAACAACAACAACAACAACAACAACAACGACAACAGCGACAGCAACAACAACAACAACAAACGAAAAACTCTTACATTTTTCTTCTTTTGACAAAGCGCTGGCGTCGTGTTCCGTCTGAAATAAAAAAAGAACGAAACAAAAGTGAATGGTAGCATCCTCACCCACTCGCAGGCTAATCCCCCTAGACATGCCTGCGGAGAGGGTAAGTAAATGGTTAATATTATGAATGCAACAAAGCGGATAAAAAACTTGTACAATTAAACGAACGGAATAAAACGTTTCTAAAACACGAGGTATACCTTAAGAAGAACAAGATTATCATAGCAAGTCTATTTATATCTGATAAAGAACTCCTGCTCGTGTTTTAAATAGTACTTCATTTCACTAAGACTTTTTTAACCTTTTGACTTTCAATTAAAATTACGGTTTTGAAAACCTTGAGCTGGGTATGGTCATATCAGCAAAATGTAAGTAGCAAGAATCGTGTACCTACGTGGTACTTGGTTGAAGACAAATAAGTATCTGATCGTGATACCGTCGATTGCAACTAAGCGGAACACGTCATGAGAAAACGTGATCTATTTGGACAATGAAACATAACATGTTTGAACTTCAAACTTTACATGATCTTGCTGGGAACATTTGACGTTTTACAATTATTTTCCCGCGAAAACGTAACAAAGTTATTACAAACATTGCAAACAATACTGAATTTGTCCACTATAAACGCAAAACTCACAAATTTACAGTATGTTAGAACTTCACTAAGGCATGTTTCATATGATGTGATGTTTGAAGTCCAAACAAATCATGTTTGGCAGCCAATTAGATCGCGTTTTCTCATGACATGTTTCCGCTTAGTTGCAATCGACGGTATTGGCGTACTTCCGGTACGTAAGCTACGTAGTTCAGTACGTAATTATCGCATGAGTGGAAATCAAAACTCACCAACGGGACACTACTACTTGTCTCAGTCATTTCCAATAAATCGTGCGGAATATCGGCGTCATTCCCAACATATGTGGGATTTTGTAACGTTGTCCCTTTCGCCGTTGATGGATGCTGGAAAACACAAGATTTACATTGAACTGAGTAACGTGGTGTCGGTAGATGAATGTGGCCGGGGTTTGATAGCTGTACGGGATACAGTTGCATATTTCATCGTGATTTCCCGACAGCCACATGTGAGTATATGATCGTTACTGTATATGATCGTTAGTGTTATATGATCGTTAGTGTTATATGATCGTTACTGGACCTCTAGGGGGAACAGTTTAGAACTGATAGAGCTATCCAGTACAATTAAAGTTACAGGTAGTTTACTTTAGGTTTCCTCCTGTATTAACACTGGATTAATAAGAGATGACCCTTACTGAACCCCTGAGAAGAACAGTTTAGAACTGATAGAGCTATCCAGTATAAATAAAGTTAGTATAGTTTAGGTTTCTTCCTGTAGTAACACTGGATCAATAAGAGATGATCCTTACTGGACCTCTAGGAAGACCAGTTTGGAACTGATAGAGCTATCCAGTTTAAATAAAGTTAGTTTAGTTTAGATTTTTCCTGCAGTAACACTGGATCAATAAGAGATGATCCTTACTGGACCTCTTGGGAGAACAGTTTAGAACTGATACAGAGCTATCCAATATAAATAAAGTTAGTTTAGTTTAGGTTTTTCCTGCAGTAACATTGGATCAAATAACGGCCATAGTGACTGTTTATTACCTGTAATATTTGGTGTTCATATTCATCATCATCAACATGATCTTCTTCAGTATACCCCTCGCTTTCAAGCAGGACGTTTTCGAAATTCTAAATGATTGAAAAGCCACGATCTATTATATGGCTATACCTTGCTTTAATGCCCAAGTCTTGTGAGCTATGTCTTCAACTTGACTATATATTTCCCTGTCCTTTTCCAAACTATTTTAAAATTATGATACCAATATCTACACAAGCAAAAATCTCACAACTTGTCGACCAGATGTGTTCGCAACAGACACGTAGCAAGCTTGTCAACAAGTTGTACCAATGTTGATATTTTATCAAGTTGCTACAAGGTTGTCACTCGCAACTTGTTGACAAATTGTTGAATTGCAGGACGATAACAAGTTATTGGAACAACTTGTAACAAGTTTGTTGAGTTCAACAACCTTCTAGAAAGTTGTCAACAAGCTGGGAACAAGCAGTGCGAACACATTGCTGCATGCCTGTAAGAACTACGTTTTACGTGTTAATTCACGTACAAGTTGTTACAGGTCTGCAAACAAGTTGTTACAAATCTGTTCACAAGCTGTCGACAAGTTGTGTTCGCACTGCTTGTTCCCAGTTGTTGTAACAAGTTTGGAACAAGCTATTAACAACTTGTAACAAGCCTGATGGCATTATCAGACTGGTTACAAGGTTGTTCTAGCAAGTCTTATACAGTCATGATATAACAAGAATGTTACAAGGTTGACGAAACAAGGTTGTAACAATATTGTTATATCATGACTGTGTCGGACTTGTTGGAACAACCTTGCAACAAGTCTCATAATACCAACAAGCTTGTCACAACGGTTAACAAGTTGTTCCAAATATGTTGACAACTCGGGACAACCAGTGCGAACACAACTTGTTGACGGCTAGTTGGTAGATTTGTTACAAGATGTGAGATTTTTGCGTTTGAATAAGGAGAAAGTGTACAGTACCCTATTGTATTTGACATTGTAAGAATTGCGTCGTTTCTTGAAGAAGTAAATAACAACAGCAATGATAATGATAGCCACAACAACACCAAAAACAACACCAATAATCTCAGCAGTATTTCCCTAGAGTCAGAATGAAAAAGATTGAAAAAGCTTTAAGGTGCTTTAAGGTGGCTCGATATAGTTTTTAAGGTGGCTCAATACAGTTTTTAAAAAAATGGAAAATCCACGATTTAGAAGCGTATTTTTGGACAATTATTACTTGTTGATAAACAAAAGGTACCTTACTTATATAAAACAACATCTAAAGAGTTGGAATTTTTGCACAAAAGTTACGCAACTGCCGTTGCTATGGCAACAGTGACGTTTCAAACTAACCAGTGGTGACAATAGCGACGTTTCAAGATTAACATGCACCACTTTCGGCCCAAATGTGGTGCATTTTCCCGTGCGTAATACAAATTAATACAAATTTTGCAAATTTCGCAGGGCTATATTTTCCGCATTTTACAACATTTCGCAACCAAACTTTGCAATCTTACTAATTTTAACATGCTCTTTCTACCTGTGATCAAAGCTTCTTGCCTAGATCAAAATTTAGTCTATAGCTGGATTGCCCATTTAATGACTTTTTGTTCGATATGATCAGGTGTAAAAATATAATTGCGAGCGAAGAAACAGGAAGAACTCTAAATTTCAGGGCATAAATAATCTACTCACATCTTTTCCGTGCTTGACACTGACCCGGACGCTTGAGTTTGCGGTAGGCTATACCGGAATAGAAATAGTTAGATCAGATTAATTAGAAGTTTACATAACCGACGATTGCGTGCAGTGAGGTAGCCAGAATTTCTAATCAATGCCAAGGAGGGGAGGGGGGGGGGCAAAAAAATCACTGGTGGCACCCAGGCGATTTCACCACGTGTCAGTTCCAATAAGGTTTGTTTATTATTTAAAAATGTATTTGGACTCCCAAGTTATCCATGCATAATTGAATACAATGAACTTTTAGGCGTGTCCGAGGTAAGCTCCCCCGGTAAAATCCTTAAATTGTGAATTTTTATTCACGATAATCACCGAGCCTGAGGCGAATAATTGTTTTAGTATAATTTCATAGGTGATTATTTGGGAAAAAATAATTAAAAATGCACATTTCTTCGTCATTTAATTGACAAAACGGCTTTGATCGCAATTTTGAAAATCGCTCAGGTGATTATCGCGTAATAATCACCTCAATGGCAACCAATCAGCGTGGAGAATTTTCAATAATCACCTATGTAATTATACTAATTTTTATTACTAAATTACGCTTTCCACTCGTTGTATCAATCGCTACTGTTTTAACCATTTAACATATAATAACTCTACTTAATCACAAACGAATTCCGAACATTTAAAACATAGGAGGATACAAAATGTCCATCACAAGAAATAAAATTAAGTACATGCAAACACATGCATGCTTGTACTGGCCAAAAAATCCCCAAGGGGCGCTTGTTTTAACAGGCCCATAGCTGAGGGGGAGGGGGGCAGTGCCCAGAAATAGTGCAGTGCTCGGAAATAAAATTGAAATTATGCCCCCCCCCCCCATTACGTTTTGCAGAACTAATAGCTGTTAATGTTGTTATTTTTTTGGGGCTAAGTACCGAAATTTGGTATGAAAAATTGAGATAAAGGACCTGGAAACCAATTGCAATGTACTCGTCCGGAAAATTTTTTTACCTAAAAAGTTAACGACGCTGGGGGGTGGGGGTCGTTGTCAGAAGAAAAAATTCAACCCCTCATCTCCAAACCCTCTGTTACATTCTTTCTGCAGTGCCCCCCAGAAATTGAGAGCCAGCTACGGGCTTGTTGCATGGGCAGTAAACTTTCGAAAATAACTTACCTTAGACGAAGGTGTCGCCGGGGTAGGTGTCACCGGAGGCGGTTTCTTATACTAAAAATAAAATAAAAACAATAACACGTATAAAGACTCCGTTCAAATGGGAGTGAATGATGACTTTGAAGGCATGCTCAAATTACTTGATGTCGCCGTTGGAGTCGAACGAACACGATGTCACAAGGGTGACGACACGAAGTTGTGACAATATTGTTATATCATAACTGTATCGGACTTGTTGGAACAACCTTGCTACAAGTCTGATAATATCAACAAGCTTGTTACAAGCTGTTTAATCAACTTGTACAATATTGTTATATCATGACTGTATCGGACTTGTTGGAACAATCTTGCAACAAGTCTGATAATATCAACAAGCTTGTTACAAGCTGTTTAATCAACTTGTACAATATTGTTATATCATGACGGTATCAGACTTGTTGGAACAACCTTGCTACAAGTCTGATAATATCAACAAGCTTGTTGCAAGCTGTTTAGTCAACTTGTACAATATTGTTATATCATGACTGTATCGGACTTGTTGGAGCAACCTTGCTACAAGTCTGATAATATCAACAAGCTTGAATACAAGCTGTTTAATCAACTTGTACAATATTGTTATATCATGACTGTATCAGACTTGTTGGAACAACCTTGCTACAAGTCTGATAATATCAACAAGCTTGTTACAAGCTGTTTAATCAACTTGTACAATATTGTTATATCATGACTGTATCGGACTTGTTGGAACAACCTTGCTACAAGTCTGATAATATCAACAAGCTTGTTACAAGCTGTTTAATCAACGTGTACAATATTGTTATATCATGACTGTATCAGACTTGTTGGAACAACCTTGCTACAAGTCTGATAATATCAACAAGCTGGTTACAAGCTGTTTAATCAACTTGTACAATATTGTTATATCATGACTGTATCGGACTTGTTGGAACAGCCTTGCTACACGTCTGATAATATCACCAAGCTCGTTATAAGCTGTTGACAACTTGTAACAAGCTTGATGGCATTATCAGACTTGTTATAAGGTTGTTCCAACAAGTCTGGCACAGTCATGATATAAGAAGAATGTTATAAATCTGCAAAATGTCTGATACTATCAACAAGGTTGTTACAAGTTGTTAACAGCTTGTTTGCAAACCTGCAGACAACTTGGGACAAGCAGTGCGAATACAACTTGTGGACGGCTTGCGGTGAGACTTTTACGCCTGTACAAGCTTATCCAAACGCTGCCTTTGGACATACAGACCATGAACTACTTTATGGAAGTACATCATGTAACTCAAGTTATACCAACCGGAAGTATGTGATCAATGACGATAACAATTCCATTTGTACCAGGATAATCATACAGGACACTGGCAATCTTGTTCAATCTAGTATGGTTCTAAACAGACAAGATGGATAAATTAAGTTAGTTTAGGTTTTCGCCTGTAGTAACACTGGATGAATAAGAGATGATGCTTACTAAACCTCTAGGGAGAACACTTTAGAAGTGATAGAGCTATCCATTATAAATAAAGTTAGTTTAGTTTACGTTTCCTCCTGTAGTAACACTGGATCAATAAGAGATGATTCTTACTGGATCTCTAGGGAGAACAGTTTAGAACTGACAGAGCTATCCAGTATAGATAAAATTAGTTTAGTTTAGGTTTCCCCTTGGAGTATAACACTGGATCAATAAGATATTACCCCTACTGCACCTCTAGGAAGAACGGTTTGGAATTGATAGGGCTATCTAAGGTTAGTCTAGTTTAGGTTTCCTCCTGCAGTAAGACTAGACCTATAAGGAATACTAGACCTCCTAGAAGTGAGAGAGCTTTCCAGTATAAATAACGTCCAGTAAGGGATGATCCTTGCCGAATTTCCAAGGAAATAGAGTTCTGAACTGATGGAGCGGACTTACATTTTTTGACACAACAATAGTAATATTGTTCCTTGCCAAACTACTGACGGTTTTTGTTGTCCCAGGTTTCAACGAAATCTTGCCTTCAACAATATGGTTTTTTAGTTGGTTTATATTCATGCTCTAGAAAAAAAAATAACGTCATTCTTGATGGTCCCACCTAGTTTGTCCACCTTTGGGAAACATGGCTAGGAAACAATGTTTCCTGGTTTGTCCACCTTTGGGAAACATGGCTAGGAAACAATGTTTCCTGGTTTGTCCACCTTTGGGAAACATGGTTGGGAAACAATGTTTCCTGGTTTGTCCACCTTTGGGAAACATGGCTGGGAAACAATGTTTCCTGGTTTGACCACCTTTGGGAAATATGGCTAGGAAACAATGTTTCCTGGTTTGTCCACCTTTGGGAAATATGGCTAGGAAACAATGTTTCCTGGTTTGTCCACCTTTGGGAAACATGGCTGGGAAACAATGTTTCCTGGTTTGTCCACCTTTGGGAAACATGGCTAGGAAACAATGTTTCCTGGTTTGTTCAGCTTTGGGAAACATGGTTGTTTCCTGGTTTGTTGACTTTCGGAAAACATGGCTAGAAAAGTTTCCTCAAAACTTCACGTTTTAAATGACATACCTTAAGAGTGAAGCCATAATTGATTGGGACAAAAACAGTGTACTCTTTTTCACTTGAAAGACGGCGAATAATGGCATGTCCCTCAACACCCCAGGATAACCTTTTCAAATTCTGTAAAAACAATAAAAGTAATCACATCGTAACGCTCAATAGGCAGAAAAAATAAATCATGCAGAAATGCCGTACGCTCTGTATTAAGTTGCCGTACGTTTAATCGATGTTGACGCACGATTTTGTATACTAGTTTTCGTATAAAATTCCCGTATAGAAATGCGTTTGAAATGCTAGATTTGAACGATGTAAACAAACATAGCAGACCGGGATTCAGGCAGTGAACTCGATGTTTCTAGATCAATGTTTCATGGTTATAAATATATGGATATTTCAGAATCAGGGATTAGAGGCGGATGTTTGTTCATTAGAGAGTTTTAACTTGACGTTTACTGCAAACGTCAAACCGCTAACAAAGTTTTTGATTTTACAACTCTATTATAACAGCTTTTACACCAGTTTTGAAATATAAACAATTATTAAATTTGTGCTCTTTAGCAATGATTTAAAAGAAAGCAAATTAACCACTAGACACGTATTCGCGAAAGCAGTAAATTATGATTTGGCGTTTGAAGTTTACGTTTGGCGTATAAATTTCATGCTTGAACTGCTATGAGGGCTTGTATAGTCGTTAAAGCATGAAATTTATACGCCAAACGTAAACTTCAAACGCCAAATCATAATTTACTGCTTTCGCGAATACGTGACTAGTGGTTAATTTGCTTTCTTTTAAATCATTGCTAAAGAGCACAAGTTTAATACATGTTTATATTTCAAAACTGGTGTAAAAGCTGTTATAATAGACTTGCAAAATCAAAAACTTCGTTAGCGGTTTGACGTTTGCCGTAAACGTCAAGCTAAAACTCTCTATTGTCTGAAGGATTTTACAGCAAACAGAAAGGGTTAACGGTGCGTACCTGTCTGAAATTATTGGCGTACGCCAACTAGGTAATTTCGGCGTACAATCGCACGTACGTACGCCTATATATTAAGCACTGCTTGCAAAGATCGTTCGAGATCATATCTCAAATATTTCCCCATAACAGGGCGTGTCTTAGAAAGTTACGAAGAAGAACATTACCTTGGAAAACTCACTCAGTTCTTCCATGTCATATATGACCTAAAAACAAAAATACGATATTAATTGATTTTCAAACAGAGCGTCGGTATGCTCAGAAATAATTTAGACGAAAAAATTTCCTGTTTGTCAATAGTATTCCAAAGGTCGTAGGTTCGATTCCCACCGTGCCCAGGCATATATTTCGAGCCTGCCCGGTGTGGATATACACTCAGAGTAACATCACAAGCATCTTATTCACCTGAGTACATTGCACCAACACAGAAAATATCATGATTGCTAGATTACATTGATATCGAAGGAACTAAACTCAGTTCCGAAATATCACATACTCGAACCGACCTAACCGCGTAGCTCAGTTGGCAGAGCATTGTTCTAGTATTCCAAAGGTCGTAGGTGCGATTCGCACCGTGGCCAGGCATATTTTTCAAGCCTGCCCGGTGTGGATATACATTCAGAGTAACATCACAAGCATCTTTAAGTTTTATTTGCAAAAGATGACACCGTATAATTTTCAAGTAAAGGAATTGAAAGGAATTGAAAAGACTTGCACCACTATAGGATATCTTAACTTTATTAATAATTCATGAAGAAAACACAAAGAAAAATCATAAGCGTGTCGTATCTTTATATGTGATAGAAATTTCCCTTGATTTACATAAACTTTAACTTTGATTTTCTCGACTTACACAACGTATTTTTTGAAAATTACTTCGCCAATGAACTTACTAGATCGATTAAAACATTCGCAGTGCGTGTTTTATCAAACCTAAAGATACTTGGCTTCGCCTCGTATCTTTCTATCAGGTAAAACACTGCTGTTCATGTTTTAAATAGTACTTAAATAATTACTTACTACATTAACTTTTAAAGAAAAATTGAAAGATATATTGAAAAATAAAAAGTCAGACTTACATCTTTCACAGTTCCTGCACAGAATATTCCGGTACCAACAAAATTCTGCCGACAACGACAATGAGCAGCGCCATCTAACAAGATAAATGAACAAATTTGATGTGTTGAATCCGTCAAGTATTTCCTGCGTGGAGACGATTCAAGGTTACCTTTATCAGTGCACTGCGCATGTGTATGGCAGTTCCCATTGTTTATCACGCATGGATGTGAGGGAGATAACGCTGTACATGTATGGCCATCACCGACGTAACCGGAACGACATTCACAGGAAGCTGAATTCTAAATATGAATGCATAAGACGAGCTAATTAGAGTCCATATTAAACTGGCTTTATTTATACTGGATAAGCTTTACACTTTCCTTCATAGAGGTCCAGTAAGGATCATCTGTTATTGATCCAGTGTTATTACAGGAGGAAACCTAAACTAAACTAACTTTATTTATACTGGATAGCTCTATCAGTTCTAAACCGTTCTTCCTAGAGGTCCAGTCAGATTCATCTCTTATTGATCCAGTGTTACTACAGAAGGAAACCTAAACTAAACTAACTTTATTTATACTGGATAGCTCTATCAGTTCTAAACTGTTCATCCTAGAGGTCCAGTCAGCATCATCTCTTATTGATCTAGTGTTACTACAGGAGGAAACCTAAACAAAACTAACTTTATTTATACTGGATAGCTCTATCAGTTCTAAACTGTTCACCCTAGAGATCCAGTAAGGATCATCTCTTATTGATCCAGTGTTACTACAGAAGGAAACCTAAACTAAACTAACTTTATTCATACTGGATATCTCTATCAGTTCTAAACTGTTCTCTCTGCAGGTCCAGTAAGGATGATCTATTATTGATCCAGTGTTACTACATAAAGAGATCTAAACTAAAGTAATTTAATTTAATTATGTATACTGACTAACTCGATCAGTTCCAAGCTGTTCTAGTCGACTTGTTTTTCAACACATTTTCAGCGTTTTGTCCGTGTATGTGATATATTTTTACTTACTGGTCCAGTGTATCTGCAGATCGCATGCTTGCTGCATCCTCCATGTTTTTTTTGACATTTATCAATTTCCTGACAATAATATCCATCACCCTCGTAGCCCGAGAAACACTGACATAATGGCGTTCTCCTTGCATCACATGTCGCAAATATTGAACAGGGATTATACCGACTTGTGCAAATTCTTGGAACAATTATACCTACAATGAGGAACAATCAATAATTAATCAATAGTCTATCAAATAATCAACCAATAATCAATCAATGATTCATTTATTTATTTAGCTTTGCCAACTAGGGCAGGGTCACCACAACAGCATATATGCATTACTGTGGGCCCTTTTTACCTAACCCACCCTGTCAACTTTCCCTGTGGGAGGGAACCGGAGTACCCGGGGAAAACCCACAACTTTCGGCGGAACGTTGACTTTTACTCTTTCCACATGAGGACTGGGTTCGAGTCGCATTGAGAAGTTCTCACTGAGATTTGATCCTGCGGCCTCAGAGGTGAAAGGCAAGTGCGCTAACCACTTGCCCAGCGAAGCCCTTAATAAATAATCAACAATCAATAATCAACCAATATGAAAATCAATAATCAACCAATAATAAACCAATAAAGAATTAATAATTAATTAAAAAAGCATTAGTAATCAATCAGTAATCAAGCACTAATCAATCAATAATAATCAATAATCTACCAATAACCAATCCATAACCAACCACTAATCAATCAATAATCAACAAATAATCAACCAATAATCAATTCAACCATTCACTAATGATTGATCAATCAATCAAAAATCAATCAATCGACTAAAAAAAAATCGATCAAAAATGATTTGATTAATTAATCAAAAATCAATCAATCGACCTTAATAATCAATCGATCACCTAATCATCAACATCAACCATCACTTGGAAACAATCTTTTCTTGTTTGTCCATCGACGAGGTGTTTGAAACAAAGATACCCAGGTAGTGAAAATGAAAACTTACTACAATTATGACTGTCATTCCTGCAAATGTCACAATTCCATCCAATGAATGGTTCAACACAAGTGCAGTTGCCAATTCCAGAAATACCGTCAGCGCACAAACCACGACCACTGCAAGGATTAAAGCCACCTGGACACGCTGATTAAAATATTATAACACAATTATTGTTTAGTAAGCTTGTCGTGGTTTGTGTCTGAACTACCTGAAAAGATATCTCAAACGTGGTGGTCCAGTGCAGGTATAGTATTCTACAATAAGCTGCCGTGGTTTGTGTTTGAACTTGGTGGTCCAGTGTAGGTAATATTCTACATGCAATAAGCTGCCGGGGTTTGTGTCTGAACTACCTGAAAAAGATATCTCAAACGTGGTGGTCCAGTGTAGGTAATATTCTACATGCAATAAGCTGCCGTGGTTTGTGTCTGAACTACCTGAAAAAGATATCTCAAACGTGGTGGTCCAGTGTAGGTAGTATTCTACAATAAGCTGTCGTGGTTTGTGCCTGAACTACCTGAAAAATATATCTCAAACGTGGTTGTCCAGTGTAGGTAGTATTCTACAATAAGCTGTCGTGGTTTGTGTCTGAACTACCTGAAAAAGATATCTCAAACGTGGTGGTCAAGTGTAGGTAGTATTCTACAATAAGCTGTCGTGGTTTGTGTCTGAACTAAGCCTTCTGGTTGAAATTAGTCGCACTTCTAAAAGTTAATCAGTTTGCAAGAAACACCATTGATTTAAAAATGAATACATAATGTACCCCGACAATCTGCACCATAGAAATTGTTGCAACATTTCTGGACTTTTGTTCGTTTGAGACAGCGAGATAAACATCCAATATACTGCCCTTGATACACACACGATGAGTTTTTATCCACACTCTAAACAGAGAGCAAGAAATTGTCGGCCATGTTCAACCTCGTAGGTAAATGCATCCTCCTTCAAATTACATTCATGACCCAACGTTCCAACACTCCAGTCTAGTGTCTTCATGTAACCAACATCAAACAATTTTTGCTACAAGAAAACATCTGATTTACCTCTACAATAGCGTCGGCCGGACAAAATCCGTTGTCTCCACATGCCGTACAGGAGCCCTGTGATATAAGAACAGTATGTTCATTTATACTGGATAGCTCTATCAGTTCTAAACTGTTCTTCCTAGCGGTCCAGTAAGTATCATCTCTTATTCATCCAGTGTTGCTACAGGAGGAAACCTAAACTAAACTAACTTTATTTATACTGGATAGCTCTATCAGTTCCAAACTGTTCTTCCTAGAGGTCCAGTAAGGATCATCTCTTATTGATCCAGTGTTACTACAGAAGGAAACCTAAACTAAACTAATTTTATTTATACTGGATAGCTCTATCAGTTCTAAACTGTTCTTCCTAGAGGTCCAGTAAGGATCAACTCTTACTGATCCAGTGTTACTATAGGAAGAAACTAAACTAACTTTATTTATACTGGATAGCTCTATCAGTTCTAAACTGTTCTTCCTAGAGGTCCAGTAAGGATCATCTCTTATTGATCCAGTGTTACTACAGGAGGAAAACTAAACTAACTTTATTTATACTAGATAGCTCTTTCAGTTCTAAACTGTTCTTCTTAGAGGTCCAGTAAGGATCATCTCTTATTGATCCAGTGTTACTATAGGAGGAAACCTAAACTAAACTAACTTTATTTATACTGGATAGCTCTATCAGTTCTAAACTGTTCTTCCTAGAGGTCCAGTAAGGATCATCTCTTATTGATCCAGTGTTACTACAGGAGGAAACCTAAGCTAAACTAACTTTATTTATACTGGATAGCTCTATCAGTTCTAAACTGTTCTTCCTAGCGGTCCAGTAAGGATCATCTCTTATTGATCCAGTGTTACTACAGGAGGAAACCTAAACTAAACTAACTTTATTTATACTGGATAGCTCTATCAGTTCTAAGCTGTTCTTCCTAGAGGTCCAGTAAGGATCATCTCTTATTGATCCAGTGTTACTACAGGAGGAAACCTAAACTAAACTAACTTTATTTATACTGGATACCTCTATCAGTTCTAAACTGTTCTTTTTAGAGGTCCAGTAAGGATCATCTCTTATTCATCCAGTGTTACTACAGGAGGAAACCTAAACTAAAGTAACTTTATTTATACTCGATAACTCTATCAGTTCTAAACTGTTCTTCCTAGAGGTCCAGTAAGGATCATCTCTTATTGATCCAGTGTTACTACAGGAGGAAACCTAAACTAAACTAACTTTATTTATACTGGATAGCTCTATCAGTTCTAAACTGTTCTTCCTAGAGGTCCAGTAAGGATCATGTCTTATTGATCCGGTGTTACTACAGGAGGAAACCTAAACTAAACTAAACTAACTTTATTTATAGTGGATAGCTCTATCAGTTCTAAACTGTTCTTTCTACAGGTCCAGTAAGGATCATATCTTACGGATCCAGTGTTACTACAGGAAGAAACCTAAACTAAACTAACTTTATTGATACTGGATAGTTCTATCAGTTCTACATACTATATGGATAGCTCCCTTATTACTCTAAAATATATAAACCTTACATTCACTTGCTCATATTTGATTTCGTCACATCGTCCAGCGACGCCAGGGGGTAGAAGGACTTCAGAAACTCCAAACGCAATACCCCCCTGATACCCAATATCGCGTTCAATTATCTTACTTCGATCGTTCACATATAAATCGCCCTAAAGAAATGATAAAAAATTTTAACTTTTATAACGGCAACCAGGTATAATATCAGACATGTTTTGCTACTCTGGTTTAAGTAAATAAATGTAATCCCTGAACAAATCACATTCACGATCCAACGTTTCAATACTCCAGTCTAGTGTCTTCATGCAACCAGGTTTAATATCAGACATGTTTTGCTACTCTGTTTAAGTAAATGAATGTAATCCCTGAACAAATTACATTCACGATCCAACGTTTCAATACTCCAGTCTAGTGTCTTCATGCAACCAGGTATAATATCAAACATGTTTTGCTACTCTGTTTAAGTAAATGAATGTAATCCCTGAACAAATTACATTCACGATCCAACGTTTCAACACTCCAATCTAGTGTCTTCATGCAACCAGGTTTAATATCAGACATGTTTTGCTACTCTGGTTGAAGTAAATGAATGTAATTCCTGAACAAATTACATTCACGATCCAACGTTTCAACACTCCAGTCCAGTGTCTTCATGCAACCAGGTATAATATCAGACATGTTTTGCTACTCTGGTTGAAGTAAATGAATGTAATTCCTGAACAAATTACATTCACGATCCAACGTTTCAACACTCCAGTCTAGTGTCTTCATGCAACCAGGTATAATATCAGACATGTTTTGCTACTCTGTTTAAGTAAATGAATGTAATCCCTGAACAAATTACATTCACGATCCAACGTTTCAATACTCCAGTCTAGTGTCTTCATGCAACCAGGTATAATATCAAACATGTTTTGCTACTCTGTTTAAGTAAATGAATGTAATCCCTGAACAAATTACATTCACGATCCAACGTTTCAAAACTCCAATCTAGTGTCTTCATGCAACCAGGTTTAATATCAGACATGTTTTGCTACTCTGGTTGAAGTAAATGAATGTAATTCCTGAACAAATTACATTCACGATCCAACGTTTCAACACTCCAGTCTAGTGTCTTCATGCAACCAGGTATAATATCAGACATGTTTTGCTACTCTGGTTTAAGTAAATGATTGTAATCCCTGAACGAATTACATTCACGATCCAACGTTTCAATACTCCAGTCTAGTGTCTTCATGCAACCAGGTTTAATATCAGACCATATAAACTAGATAGCGCATCTCTTTTAGTAAAATTGAAGCCAAGAATATTCCAGCGGTTACCCCCATTTGAATATAGATGGCGGCCATGTTGGAGTTTCCCACTCGCTAATAAATGCTTAAAAAACAACAATAACTTTCATCATTTGAATAGTTTGAAAATGTATTTGGAACAGGTTTAACTTAATGTTTAAGAAATAGAAAACATACGAGTCTTCTCATTTCATGGGAATATCCCGAGTCTGCAATCACGGCTTCAATTTTTCAATTGCAGAATAATTAGATGCACTATCTAGTGTATATAAGATATCTATGTATCATACATGTTTTGCTACTCAAGTTTAAGGTGGCTCAATACACTTTTAGCCAAAGAAGCTAAAGTTGAATATTTTCTGTTTAAATGCTTTTACAAGGTTAAGTTTTACTTATAATTGTAACACATAGTAAGACGTGTCGCAAACAAGAAGGATATGATAAAAGTCGCGTTTCCATGACAACTATAACGAATAATGGTAACAATAAATAGCCGAAAATATCGCAGCCTTTCAAGTTTTTTTCAAAAATGAGTTCGGAGACCCCAATTTTTTTTTAATAAATCAGTTATGTTAGTGTCGAGAAACATTTCTGGGAAGTTTAAAAAAAATCTGTCGACTCAAACTCAATTCTTTAGAATTAAATTTCGATTTTTTTTTTTCAATTTTTTTTTTATTTTTCCATCGTGGAATCTTGAAGTATGTATCTACTCATGTACAAATTTTCAGGGTACCTTACCGAACTCGTTTTGGAAATAATCACGGTTTTATTTCGTGCGGCCAAAGTTTTTCACACTCTGCAAGATTAATGAATTGACATGCGCGTACATGTTTTCGCAGGCGCATCTCCAAAAAAAACACGCACAAAAAGTTTTTAATTTAGTCTCGTCGAAACATCAAATATATGTTGTGTTTTCTTGCTTAGAAATGCAAATATATTTAGTTTTGCATGCTAACTCGGGATAACGCCAAGAAAACAGATAACTGTCGGTCGTTTGGTATAAGATATGTGCGACATGTATGAACTTTTTGGCTTTACTACATAGTTTTATATTCGTTTTCAGTCATAACCTCGGTCGTAACTTGTGTGTTTTCATGTTGTTATTGACAAGTTAAAAGAGTTTGAGAATCCCTGCTAAAATAACATCGCTCACAATACCTTGTGTCCTTTGCATGAAATGTACAATGGCGAGCCTTCACGAGTACGTCTTGACAGTCCGCCAGCATAGCTAAGAATGTCTTTTGTAGTAATCTGAAAACAATATCATGTGAAGTTGAGCTAATGAACCACAATAAGCCCAGGTTTACCCTATCCTACAGGCCATTTAGACTACACAACTTTTGCCCAAAATTGTCGCATGCAAACCTGCTTACAACTTGAGTTGTACTGTGTAAATCAAGTACACAACTTGCTTACGTTGTCGTTTGTGAGTTGTGTGCTTGATTAACACAGTACAACTCAAGTTGTAAGCAGGTTGCATGCGACAGTTTTAGGCAAAAGTTGTGTAGTCTAAATCGACTTTAAAAATGATCTAACAATTGCAGTGCCCAAACAAAGTTTGGCCACAGAATAAAGATCAGTAACAGAAGGGCCACTCAGCGGTGCAACGTGTCCGCGTTTTTTTACGCAAAAATATGCAGTTTACTGGCCAGAAGGCGGAGCAGCCAGCCAGTACAGCGTGTTTATTGGCCAAAAAATGTCATTGACTGGCTAGGAAAATGGCGGCCAACATGCGTAATGCGACATGCGCGAGGACGGAAACTTCAAAGATTCCGACGCAAGCGGCCCTTCTGTATATGGATCTTTATTCTGTGGTTTGGCGTAGTGAGTTTGTTAGTTTGTCAAGATAAATAGCTTTCCGAGCTTCGCGCTAAAAATCACCTATTCAATGCGGAATGTACAACTTTCAGAAGCTGAGCGAAACAATATCTCTCCGTTGCAATAATTCCTCTGAAAATAACGTTCCTAAAAGGTACGGATAAGTATTTTTTCACGTCGCTACGGAGAACTATCCGTTTCCGTGTAAACGAGGCCGATGCATACCTTTGTTTTTTCAATGATGTGATAGTTAATGATATCTCTTGCATAATCCTTGTGAGACAGTTGTCCTTGGATGTCCGCTGGTAGACGAGAAAATGCTTCGTCACTTGGCCAGAACGTCGTATGCGGTCGATAATAAATATTTGATGCAATATCCAACATATCAGCATCCTTAACACAATGATAAGATCAAAGTCAAATGGAGCTAATCGATCTTACACGGAACATAGGTTCATTCATGGGGTTCAATTCACGAAATACAGTATGCTGCAGTTGTCTGAACCTTTGGAAATAGTAAACCTATTTAGTATAAAGAAATGCAATGTATAGGCCCTTGTTAAGGCCCAATATCACTCAAGAAAAATTTCCACGGACAGAAAAGTTTCTGAAAATATCATTGTTAAAAGTTGAAAATTTTCAACTTCAACATTTTCTTTTACTTCGAACTTTTTTCCGACGGAAAATTTGTGTCGGCCAATCACATTTTACAAAATTTCTTTCCATTCACAATTCACAATTCATTATTGAAGGTATACAGTATATAGGTCGTATTTATAGCTCAACAACAGCCCTCAGTAGCCTATAGTTGCATACGTTGCAACTCCTCCTAGTTTGGTCCAAAATTGTACACAATCTTCCGCTGGAAATTTGCATCTATAAAAATCCTTATAATCCTGGCATTCATAGGCTTGCTTTAGACAATACAAAACATTTTTTTATATGTTTACAGCACGCTTACAGTTAAGAGTTGAACGAATTTTCCATAACCTTTCGTCTTGGCAACATCAGTTAGGGTCATCTATATGATAGGAAAAAATATTTGCTTGAATGATTGATGGTGATTTAGGTGCGATGGTGATGATGAACGTGTTGAGTGATGATAGTACGATGGTGGTGGTAATGATCATGGTGTCGACGATAATGGTAATGATTTTTAATGAGATTTAAAAAAAAAAGATTAGGTTAGGGTTAGGGTTAGATTAAGATTAGTGTTAGGGCTCAACATGTGTCGCGAATTTACTATATTGATAAATTCGGACGTGTTTGACAATTTACTCATATAGTAAATTCAAAGGTGGAGCTCATTGCTGTAATGATGATGATGAGATGATAGTGTTAATGGTAATGATGATAATGGTAATGATGGTTGCGATGATGGTGATAATGACGGTAGTGGTGATAATGATGATAGTGATGGTAATGATGATGATGGTAATGATGATAATGGCAATGATGGTAATGACGATGATGGTAATGATGATAATGAGGATGGTAATGATGATGATGGTAATGATGATGAGGATGGTAATGATGATGATGGTAATGATGATGATGATGATGGTAATGATGATGATGGTAATGATGATGATGATAATGAGGATGGTAATGATGATGATGGTAATGATGATGATGATAATGATGGTAATGATGGGGATAATGATGGTGATGGTAATAATGATGATGATAATGATGGTGTTTGTGGTGATAATGATGATAGTGATAATGATGATGATGATAATGGTAATGATGATGATGGTAATGATGATGATGATGATAATGATGGTGTTTGTGGTGATAATGATGATAGTGATGACCAAAGTAAAATATATTGTTCCACTTCGTTGCTATGCAAATGTAGATACTTCCAAACGCTTAAAAATCACAGACGATTTACGAAACAGCTGTTTTTTAAAGTATATTAAATCATCATTTTAAAAATGCCACCGCGACCTCGCAAGCAATTGGACTCGAAAAGGATCGAGGATTCACTTCGAGCAAACATTTTGCCATTGGTAAGTTTATTGAGCAAACTTAATTCATTGTAGTGGCCCTGTGGTCAATAATAGCATGTTATACAGCTGAATTCACGCCAATTCATGCAGTCAATTTATTAAATTCGTCTAGATCACCGAACAGTTGGAAGCGGTAGCATGCCGTGCTGTTTGGAGAGTTCGTGAAACAGACATTGACATCGCAAGAAATCAGATCGCTTCAAAGCGACTTCGCCTTGAC